AGGACTTAACATCTCTATGATAAATGGGAATGGAGGCTGCTGAGTGCAAGTAGGAAAGGGCAGCAGCTACTTCTGCTGCAATTGTTAACCGTCTTTCCCAGGTTAATGGGAAGTCTTCATTTTCATCATGTATGTACTGGAAAAGTGTCCCATTAGGAATGAATTCATAAACTAGCAAAGGAACTTCAGTCTCCAAACAACAACCTAATAACTTAACAATGTTTCTGTGATTAATTTCTGTAAGAATGGCCACCTCATTGATGAACTCTTTAACTTTCTCTTGATCCAATACTTTTGACTGCTTAACCGCAACAATTCTTCCATCAACCAACATTCCTTTATAAACAGTGCCCTGACCTCCCTGACCAAGTATTCTATTCCTGTTGAAATGGTCAGTTGCCCTCTCCAACTCTTGGGTACTAAATATTTTGGTCTTTTCAATATTACCCTCAGTTGAAGAAAGTTGTTGCTGCAATAATAAACCTCCATTCTGTTCGAAGAACTGCATCTGGAGTTTCTTTTTCCTTCTCTTCTCTAAAATTTTGTACAACCAGTATGTACCAATAAGTAAGCACACTATTCCAAACCCTAGGCTAATGCCTGCAGTGAATAAGAAAGGAGAAACGGATGACTTTAGCGGGAGGTACACAAGTATATCAAAACTTGATTGTATAAAAGTCCAGTTTCATGGTTAGTTAGAAAATTCGAAATGAAATGAAATAAAATAAATAAAAGTCCACGGGATTGTGCATGGTCCTTAAAGAAAGATCTTTAGGTGAATAGGTGACAAAGATGATGAGAGATGGTGTAAGTAATTAGTGTTGAAGTTGGGGATGGTAGACAAACCTCCCTTTTTTGTGAGTGTTGGCTACCAGGAGACAGACTTTGTGATAGGCTACAAAATATGGCTGAGATCACTAACTGCGGGGCATGAAACAAAATTTCCCAGGGGGGGGCAATTTGGATGGCAGATGCCAACTAGTTTTGAAAGGAGATATTCTGGTATAGTGGCTGAGATCAAAAGGCTTGATGTTGTCGGAGGGAGCGAATAAATTTTTATTGTAGTCAGGGGCTTCTCAATCAATAAAGCTACCACTTGCCAATTGATGAGGTTACAGACTTCCCGGTTCATATAGTTCCTTGGTTTAGATTGGCGTGGAATTCTGTTTGGATTCCTGGACACCAGTTTATTCTCTAGATGCTACTGAAAGGTCTGTTGAAGACAAAGGATAGGTACCGAACTGGAGAAGTATGCCTTTAAATTTAATTTTTTGTTGTGTTATTCTGCCGAGGAATCATACAAGTATCCCTTGTTTAAATGCCTTTTTGCTTCTCGTGTGAAGAACTGTGTTATTGAGATTGGGAATTAGTAGAAGGCCGAGAAGTTGGACCCAGGAGTGGAAATCATACAAGCACTTTTTTGTCCAGTTCCCAGTTAAAAAACACCATTTTCAACTTTTAACACCCGAATATACTGTAAAATTGATTTATTAATTATTATGCTAAAAAATAAATAAATAAGTAAAAGTCGAAAAAGTATGGGGCTTACCCAAAATTACTGGCCAGGCTTTTTTGCCTTGTTTGTGTTTGGGTTCGCAACCGTAGCCCCCTATCTTGTTTACACAAATTGTGTCCGCAAAACACGTGGAATTGTACCGAAGGTCCTTGCATTCATCAATATCTAAGACAAAAAAACAAAAATAAAATCAGCAAGACATTAGGGACAAAAATAGAGCAAAAAAAATACCTTAGCCATATAAAAATCTCCAACGGCTAAACCTGCTACCAGGGACGGAACTAGAAAATAATCTTAAGAGGCGAAGTG